TTTGGGAGGCTGAGGTGAGTGGATTGCCTGAGCCTGTGGGTTCGAGACCCGCCTGGGCAACTTGGCAAGACCTCATCTCTACAATAAATCAAGAATCAGCCGGGTGTGATAGCGCACGCCTGTAATTCCGGCCACTCAGAAGGCTGAGGCAGAAGGATAGCTGGAGCCCTCCAGTCTGGGCGACAGAGTGAAACTCCAACTCAAAAAAAAAAGAAGCAAAATAACACAATGAAGATGGATTTTGTGAGTTTTCAAATGATTGTTTTATGTTGATATAATTATAAACTTTGATTTAGTTAATCTTATAACAAGACTATGTCTGGTTTCAGATGAATGGGAGTGGAATATTGGATGAAAATAGATTTTGAAATCTCCGCATCATGGTTTTGAGCTCCCTGGTGACTGCGTAGTCTCACTGTGTGGGAAAAGTTCACGCTGAAAATCTGAAGCAATTAATGGGTGAATATGATCAGATTTCTCCAGCAAGTTCTCAGCCTAATAAGGGTAAATAAAAAATTCCAGTCACCTCTTTATTCATATCTTTGCCATCTGTGGTCTTGGGATTGGCTTCTTTCACATAATTTTTTAAAACTTTTTGACTCTTGTAATAACACTTAGCAAATTTAATCTTTTTTTTGATTCGGAGTCTCTGTCACCCAGGCTGGAGTGCAGTGGCACACTCACAGCTACCCTAGCATCGACCTGCTGGGGTCCGGCGATCCTTCTGCCCCAGCCTTCCAAGCAGCTGAACTACAGGCACGAGCTACCACACCCAGCTAATTTTTGATTTACTGTAGAGACAAGGTCTCGACCAGGTTGCCCGGGCTGGTCTCAAACCCGCAGAGTGAGGCTATCCACTTGCCATGGCCTCCCAAAGTGCTAGGATGACTGGCTGAGCCACCGAACCCAGCCTATAATGATTCTTAGCTTAAAACAGACATTGTACAGCTGGAAGGTCTTCAGGGACAATAACATGCAGGAAGTTGTTGTTGCCCGTGATGACAGTGCCTTCTCTGGAGCACCTTGAGGGACCTGCCTCAGATGTTCTACAGTTAACTATTTTTATGTAGTAGCAGGGGTGCACTATAAAATGACAATAGAAAATGTGGTAGACACATAAACCAGTAACATCATCATGTGTTGTTATTATCAAATCTTGTGTAATGTACAAAATATATTTTGCACAACTGGCAGTGCAGTAGATTTGCTTACAGCAGCATTGCTACAAGCATGTGAGCAATGCATTGTGCCACGGCATTACTATGTCATTAGGCAGTGGGAATTTTTCCGCTGCATTGTAACATTCTGGGGCCACTGTCATGTATTAGTATATAGCGAATGACCATATCTCCTCTTCTTCTGGATAAATTCTTAGGAGCAGAATAAGTGGATCACACAGCAGGTGTATGTTTAACTTCTTAAGCAGCCAGACTGTTTTCCAGGTGGTTGGGTCGCTTTACGTGTTCCCAGCAATGCACAGTTGCCACACCCTCACCAATGCTGGCTAGTGTTGTCAGTCATTTTAATTTTAGTCATTTTAGTGAGTATGTAGTGGTATCTCCTTGTGGTTTTAATTCACATTTACTTGACAATTGATGATTTTAAACATTTTGTATATATTCTTTTCTGAAGTGTTGGTTAAAATAGTCTACCCACACTTAAGCAGGTATTTGTTACCTTATTTTTTATTGTTATTCTAGTCAGAAGTTTTATCTATTTAAATTTAATAGGAGGTCAGGCGTGGTGGCTCATGCCTGCAATCCCAGCACTTTGGGAGGCCGAGGCAAGAGGATTGCCTGAGCTCAGGGGTTCTAGGCCAGCCTGGGTAACTTGGTGAGACCTCGTCTCTACCGTAAATCAAAAAATAAATAAATGAATTTAATAGTAGATGTGTCTGTAATCCAGCACTTTAGAGGCTGCAGCAGGAAGTTTGCTTGAGCCCAGTAGTTCAAGCCCAGCCTAGGCAACATAGCAAGACCTCGTCTCCATAAAAAATTTTAAAAAGTAGCTGGATATGATGGCACATGTCTGTAGTCTCAGCTACTTGGGAGGCTGAGACAGGAAGATTACTTGAGGCCAGGAGTTTGAGGCCACAGTGACCTATGGTTATGCCATTGCATTCTAGCCCAGGCAACAGAAAAAGACGTCAGCTCGTAAAGATAGATAAATAAAAATAAATAAATAAACTTAATAGGAACTATGTTTTCTAACTCACCAAATGAGACTTCGTTTATTATTTTCTTTTTAAATTTTCCCCCAAAAAAGGCTGATCATTAGTTAGACTCCAGAGTGCTGTGTCAGGCTTATTCCTTCTAAGTTTTGGAGATAATATATATCACCAAAAATATCTAGGGCATTATCTCATAGAAAGTATATATTTTTTTCTTTTTGATATGTTTGTACAGGATTTGTATGTGATTTGAGATGGTGGGAAGCAAGAGAATCAGAAACAGTGTTTACCCCCAAAAAGAAACAAAACAAGCAGACAGAAACTCTAGTATACCTACTCTAAATTTCTTTCAAAACTTTGCTCTGCATCGGGCCTATTCCCTTTCAGCAACCTCGACCTGATGGGTTCAGGAGATCCTTCCACCTCAGCTTTCCATGTCATGTAGCTGAAACCATAGACGTGTACACCACCACACATGGCTAGATTTTTTTTATTTATTGTAGAGGCGAGGTCTCACCAAGTTGCCCAGGCTGGTCTTGAACCCCTAGACTCAAGCAGTCCTCTCACCTCTGCCTCCAAAAGTGTTGGGATTACAGGCGTGAACCACTTCACCTGGCTAAGATGTTCCTTTATTTTTTCTCTGAACCCTCTTATCAGTACTTGCAGAGATAACAAACCAGAAGACATTCTAGAATGCTCTTTTTCACCAGTCAGAAGTGACGGAATGAGATCTCAGCCCTAAGATACAGAACTCTGTTTCCTCATCTTCCCTCATGCTCTATACCTAGTGGATTTCATCTTAGAGCTGAATTTTAATTTCTAAACTTCCCAAACCATATTACAAATATCCTTTTATTATTAAGCCTTACGGTATTCTAATTAGGTGAGTATGTATGTTTATTTTATTTCGGTTGAGTGAACTAAAGATTCTATAAATCCAGTTGCTTCTCTATGGTTTTATTACTTCTCTTAGACAACAATATGCAGGGAACTGAATAATCAGAACTTCAGAAATTATCTGAGCATTCAGACAGGCAGCCCTGTGGACATGTGATCCTTACTCACACATCCCCACATGTCTTTCATGCTGCCCTCCAACGGCAGGCACCCTGTGTGGGAGAACCTCTCTGACCTCTTCTTCCCACTTTTGAGAAGGGTAAAGTTACTTGTGAGTGACCTGGATGGTATTTGGCCATCCTGATGCTACTGTTTGGCATATGGATAGTTAACTTTTACGCTGTGGTAGTTTTAATTTGTTTGAGCTGCTTTGTTTTTTGAAGCTCTTTTCTATAGCAAAGGATATGCTCAAAATAATCTAGTAAGAATTTTCTCGCATCTTCTCTGTAGAGAGTCCCTTTTTGTCAACCTAATGAAGCATTCGAAGAAGACGCATGACTCTTTTCAAGATGAGCTTGAGGATTACATTAAAGTTCAGAAAGCCAGAGGCTTAGAGCCAAAGACTTGTTTCAGAAAGATGAGAGAGGACTATTTGGAAACCTGTGGGTACAAAGATGATGTTGATTCAAGACCCATACATAGAATGTTTGATCAAAGACTGCCACCCAAAGCCATCCAGACCTACCCAAGATCATGCGGTATTTCACAAACAGCGGAAAACAGGTTACCTCAGTGGTTACCATCTCATGACAGCAGGCTGAGACTAGACTCTCTGAACTACCGTCAATCCACCAGGGACTGTTTCTCAGAAAAACCAGTACCCCTGAACTTGAACCCGCAAGAGTATAGTTGCTCATATAGTGTAGAAACTGGAGTTTCTAAGCACCTCTCCTCAGACAACAGTACCACTAGCCATCAAGCCAGTCATCCGAGGAAGAGTCACCCAGAGGAGGGCCGAGGAAAACCAGAGGAGGAGCGACCCAAGCATAAGAGGCAGCGAGGGTGCGAGGGGACTGATGTAGATGAACACACAAGCGTCCAGAGAAAGAGAACAGAGGTGGAGACAGAAACCGCACAGGTTGGAACAGAAAAGCCCAAGAATCGGAAGGAGAAAAAAAGCCGAGAGGTTACCTCTAAGAAAGAGGAGCGTAAGCGAAGAAAAGAGAAGAAGGAGCAAGGCAAAGAAAGGACCGAGGAGGAGATGCTTTGGGACCAGTCTATCCTTGGGTTTTGAAGCTTCCTCACTGGTTCTTCCGAAGTTGAACTGAACATCAGTTGAGCAGCCTGGTGTTACGGTGTTTGTGTGTTTGTAGCGCTTTGCTTATGCAAACAGGGACTTTGGCTGCTAACAGAGACCGGGTGAACAGAAAGTGTTGAGTATGTTTGCTCTCTCACATGGAAAGTACTTTTTCTCATTTGTAAAAGCATTTTTACATTTTTCTTTCATATAATGTACTTTCCCTTAATGAAAGTGGCTCTGCTTTTTTTATTCATCAGATTGCTTTGATGGTGGAATTATTTTCCCCTGGGAGGGTATTTATTTGAAATTGGAGGAGTAACAGGCTTTGCAGAACCAGTTGCTTGATTGGGTTTGTTACAGTTTGGAGTTGGGTATTTTTATGTTCCTTGGTTTTCTCTCTGAAGCAATTTTTTTTTCCTTTGTTAGACCTACTTGCAGTGCATTTTCTAGGTTGGAAAGTGGAAAATACATTATAATAATAATAAACTTAGATACATATAGTTTTAAAAGTTTCAAAGACTCTTGATACAAAAATCAGTTTATATTCTGAAAATATTTATAATAAAGTGTTCTAATTTCTGCATGTTGTTCTGGATCATTGATATGTCCCCCTTCAACTGTGATTTTTCTCTTGGGGGGAAATGCAGTAACTGGGTAGTTTGTGCTTAAGAGGAACAATCTTTCGGGTGGGTCACACTTTAAAGTTGTAAAATTTTCTTATCTATTATTCCTTGCTTATTCATATTTGAATCCAGTTTTAAGGTGGAAATCTATGACTGACTTTATTTTCAAATAGTTAACACTGAAGAGAGAAGAGTTTATAAGAAATGAAATGCCATCTGACGACTTGGTCCTGTTCATTGTTTTCACTCTAATAATCCCCCTTTTGTTGTTGGTGGTGGTGGTTTTGTTTTTTTTTGTATGTGTGGTTTTTTTTTTTTTGAGTCAGACTCTCTGTCACCCAGGCTGGAGTATGGTGGCATGCTCCTGACCACCACAGTCTCGACCTGCTGGGCTCGGGATCCTTCCACCTCAGCCTTCCAAGTAGCTGGAACTACAGGCACACGTTACCACACCTGGCTAATTTTTTT